CCCATTCAGCTTGTTGGTAAGCAGTTTCCAGAGCACTTTCCTCTCTAGCCTCTGGCTTGCATCCCATGGGGCAGGCTATGGAGACTCGCTCCCAGGAGCTATAAAATAGCCTGGTATTTTAGGAACTAAGGAACTGTGATCTGCGGTAAAAGCTTTCCCCTAAGAGAGATTTAGAAGAAGCTTTAGGATAGAGTGTGGCAGGAGGGGAACCAGTGGAAATGTCTCCAAAGAACAGGGTCGAAACGAAGGAAAGTCAGGGGTGGTAGAACTCGGGGCAGCAAGAGGCCCTGCTCTGAGTGAGCAGCCTCGCCTCCCGCTAGAGAACCTCCTTTGCCTGCAGGGCAGCAGCATCTTATACAACTGGCGTTCCAGCAAGTCCAGAGGAGTCCCAACATTTTCCCTGGAGAGAGGAAAACACTTGAGTCTTTTGGCTGACTGCAGGTGATTTGACAGTTTTACGTGGGCTTATTACCGCCAGCATTTGGGGGACTGTTTCATCCATGACCTCCCCAAAGCTATCCCTTCAAATTAGCACTTGGATTTCTGCCCAGCCTTGCCAACCAGACAGGTAGACAAGCCTGAAATATGTTTTCCTAAAGAGTGCTGGAATGCTTCCCCCCTGTTCTTTTCCCCACAAATTAGCTTGTGAAAGAGAGGGGAAAGGACCATTAATCCCCTTTCTTCTCCTCTGCACTAATTTATACCAGCACCAGATAATATCATGTCAGAGAAAAATAATGCTTGAAGATACACTAAAAAAAGGAAGTGGCAGGTGGTAACGCCCTGGTGCCCACATAGGACTGAATAGAGGAGCGTGGAGGGAGAGGTTTGTTCACGTTGCCTGCTCTGAGGCTAAAAGGAGAACTAATTTATGTGTGAGGGGGAAGAAATGAGTATTGAATTCTGCAGCCTTGTTCTTCTCAACCTAGAGGATGTAATTATAATATGCACTGAACATTGCCAGATATTTAGTATTCTACCTCTATAACTTCATAACGGGAACAAATTATATGAAGAAAAATTATTTTGTTGCTCCGACAGTAAGTGAGGCAAATACTTTATGACCTTATCTTTCCTTGGGAATTATTATCAACAGCCAAGCTGACTTGTTGGTTGGCTGTGCATAAGAATATATTTAAGCCCTGGTGGTTTGTGCAGTGGTTAGAGCATCGGCCTGTGGACCAAAGGGTTGCAGGTTTGATTCCGTGGTCAAGGGCACGTAACTTGGTTGCAGGTTCCCCAGCTCCAGTAGGGGCCCTTGAGGGAGGCAACCAATTAATGTGTCTCTCTCATGTCTGTGTTTCTCTCTGCACCTTCCATCCCCCCCACTCCCTTCAACTGTCTTGAAATCAATGGAAAAAATATCCTCAGGTGAGGATTTACAGAAGAATATATTTAAGATGTCTGCAGAATGCTTTTCTCCCATTGTCAAAAACTCATGTTTTCTAAAAGTATCCACGAGTTTAAGATGGCACAGATAAACCCGGGTCTTTTGGGTGGGTGGCATTGGATAGCTGTTACTCCTTGATTTTACAAAGCTCTCTTTGCTGCTGCAGGTGCCCATAAAATAAATAAGGCTTTTGTAAATAGGTATTAGAGCACTGAAATTATATCTATGTGTCTGTAGTATCTATCATCCATCTATCTACCTACCTATCCATCTTTCTATCCATTAGCATGTGATGAACCCCTTGATCCCTAGTCTCCCTTGGGTGAGAGAGGTTCACTACCTTAGGGACAGGAGTAGGCGTTGGAAAGGAGGGGACTTTTGTTACTTGACCCTGAGTGAGAGATGGGAGTAATTCCTTTACTCTGTGCACTTTGGGTCACCCTCTGGCGCTTATTCTGTGGCTTTCACATGGTTTTCAAATATTTCCAGCTTGTTGTGAAGAGGGAATCCCCTGCTTAGTGTTATGTCTCTTGAGTTAGATAATAGATTTACATCATTAGGGAGTTTGAAAGTGCTGGAGAGATTAGCGAACACAGCCCTCTCATTTTACAGATGAAACTCTTCTGGTGATTGACAGATTGTTGTTATAATTAATTTTTGTGGTCTCTGTCTGAAAGGTGGTGTGATTGCAAATGTTTCAGAAATGACAGTGTTTCTGAGTAGTAAAGAAATCATGCTCTTGTTTTAATGAAGTGAAATGACTAGATGTTTAGAAGCAATCTCCTAATTTGTAATAAAGAAGTTCATTTTCAGTTGTTTTATATGCAGCCTTCAAATTTTACTTTACTTAAGATATATAAATGATTCATTATATATTTTAAACAGTAATTTGCTCTCTGATGACAAAAGTAAAAATGTTTATTGATGAAAATTTAGAAAATAGAGAAGCATACAAAAGCAGAGGAAAAAAACCACCAGTAATCCCCAAACTCTAAAAACCACCGTTACTGTTCTTTCAGTTTTTTGGAGAGGGGGTGGCAGTGGCGATGGGTAGATACTGAGATAGATAGACCGATAGATAGAGACATAGGGCTTACATAGTTGTAATTATACTGTGTATACAGTTTATATCTTGCTTTTTAAATATAATATTATGTTTAAATAGTTGCCTAGCTTATTCTTAGAGAACATGATTTCCTATATTAGGCATTTGGGTAGCTTCCAGTTTTCACTAAAATATTTCTAATTTTACTATAAAGAGCAGTGAAATGGAATTTCTTGTATTTAAACTTTTATGTGCTTCATTGATCATTTTTTTCTCATGTAACTTCTTAAAAGTGAAATTAATAGGTCAAAGCATCTAAAGGTTTTGAGTATTGAGGCTGTAACATCTATAGTCATTATTAAATGCATTTTCAATCATCTGTGTCTAATGATAAACACAGTGGGGGATATCACAGAGAGCACAGGCCCCACCTGGCTGAGTTATTCCCATGCTACAGTGAGGAAGGCTGTGGGTGGGAGAAACGCCCAACACTGCAGCTTCCAGGACTAATTACTGTGGATTTTAACTCTTCCCTTACCTTATTTTAAATAAATCCAATGTTTTTATATTATTATTTCTTTGCAATTAAGAAAGTTGAATCTTCTATAAGCTTATTGCCATTTTTTTCCATTGAGATTTTTCCTATTGTTTGTCAGTACTTTTAGATATCAATTTTGTTTTAATTAATTTAATTTGCAGTCTTTAAATCAGCTTGTCATTGGCTTTTAAATTTGTTTAGAATGTATTTTTGACAGACTTTTAAAATTTTATCTCACCAGGACCTGTCAATTTTTCTCTTGAAATGTCGTGCTTAGCTTTTATGCTTAGGCCTACCAGCAAGTTGTGGGCTTGCCCATCTGTATGCTGTACTACATTTGAAATTTTGTGTTTAATTATAGCAGAAGTGAAAATTGATGGGCGAGGACTTGGTCTTGGCATGCATGTCCATTCCCACAACCATAGCTGGCACTGTCGGTGTGAACATGGGGAGGAAGGCCAGGGACTCATGCTGGGGGAATCGGGGAGAGAATTGAGCATCTTCTACCTGCCACCCACTCTTGTTGGCTCTTTAATCAGCTACCTGGAAACTGAAATTTAGGAAGATTAAGTCACTGACCCATCTTCCCCAAAGCAGTCTGGGCTAAGCTGGGATTCCAGAACACGTACGCATCCCAGGAAGTCCTTGGTTTGTTGGACTCAGCACATGACTTGCATTGCTGCCCCCTCTGCTCCCAGTAAGGCCACCTAGAGGACAGAAACCTTCAGGACAGTAAGGTGAGGGCTTAGTTCCCAAATAATTAAATGACTGTGACTACCTATTATTATCATGGCTACAATAATAGCACAGGTTATTAGTAATTCCAAAATGAAAGATGGGCAGTGCTTGCAATGTTGCAGCCATTTGCCGAATAAAGAGGTACTGACTTGCTTAGGTAAGACAGAGTTCTTTTGTGTTTGAGAGAGATGAATAATTATGCTGGATGCTGGCTTGTGCAGAAGCAAAAGGACTTCATTTTCTATGCTTCTCAGTGACACAGTTGTAATCCCCAGATTACATTAGGTGATTGAGCACCGTGAATGTGTGATGTTTTTTAATAGAAGTCTATACTACATTAACAGAGGCAAAAGAAAGGAGGTTCCAGTATTAAAGAAAATCGTACAGGAGGAAAACTTCATTCATTAAGCTAATTTTTCCCCCTACATCTTGTAAAAGGCCACCATTATGTCATTCTGCCCGTGAGAACATATTTTGACAGCTACTTCCCTAAGCAATCAACATATTTGTAGCTTTTTACATTTAGGGTTCACCTCCTCTTACTCTGCATCACACCTGAGAGTGGCCCATTTAGATATTTTGGGTGCTCAGTAAATCATATGGTAACTCAAAACAGGGCTCTGTTAGATCACTGAGACAGTGCTAGCTTTGGGAATTCTGTATCCCAGTCTAAAGTGGATTGGGAGCATTCTCTAAGTGTCGATGGGCACTCTCACAGGGAATGAGTGGACTCTGCAGTTTGTGTGAGAAGTGGATGGAGCAGGTGCCTCCTGCTGGCTGTCGCACTTTCCCCAGGACCATGAGGTCATTGGAAGGAAGGAGAGAGGGGTCACGGAGGGAGGAAGAGAGGGAAGGTGAGCTGAGGGAGAGAAAGAATTGAGAAAGCTATTGAAAACAATATAATCAATATAAAATATTAAATAGTTGTATGTGTAAGTGTGTGAATTTTACTCTGGGCTTTATAGAATTTTTAAGTGATGGGATTGGGGTAATTTTGATTTCCTTTTTGTGCTTTTCTGAAAATTTCAAATATAATCTTAGGGATAATAAAATAAAAATTAGTTTTTAGACTTGGGACACTGCAAACCCTGGTCTTAATCTTGCAAGCTTAGAGCCTTCTTCCATCTTTCCTGGGCTCCATTCTTCATTTAAAAAGGTTGGTTTGTGTTTGGCCAAATGAAAACGTCTATTCTAGCAATAACCTTCTTTTTCTTTCCCCCCCCTGACACTCAGCATGGGACAGAGTGGGCCTCCTCTGTGTGTAGTGTGTGCTCCTGCACTCACGGAGAAGTCCGATGTAGTCCCCAACCATGCCCACCGCTGTTGTGTGGACACCAGGAGCTGGAGTTCATCCCTGAAGGAAGCTGCTGTCCCATCTGTGTGGGCCCTGGGAGTGAGTATGAGCTTGTAAAGAGAGATTCGCTTTGCCTTTGAGGTTCACCCGGTGACACGCCAACTCTTCTCTTTCACGTTCAATGTGGTTCAAAGATTCCCAACCCCATTTCTTATTGGAACAAGATGGAGCCTTGCACTTGGCAGGAAGGGATGTTGCAAAGAGTGAGGTTGGAACACATCTTTAAGCTTCCTCCCAAACTTAGCATTCTGCAAGTCCCTGATTTACCTATTTTGCCATGGCCAGATGCATCCCTCTGCATTCATAGCCCCTGAGAAGGAAAGGAAGGAGGGACAAGATCCTTTGATGTGATTCCATGACACCAAGGTAGTTCCTCCGGGCTCCTGGCAGAGAGGAGAACGAACAAATCTCTCTAAATGTGGTGTCACTGGCACTAATTCTGCTGGCTGGTCTTTGAGATGGCATAACATTTTTCTCCAAGACACACAGAGCAGGAAGCAGGTACTTCATCTGTCTTCATTGCATCTCCGCTGTGGAGATCATGCCTGCCTCCAAACCAAGGCACAGTTCGGCAGGCCAGCAGCACACTGCCAGGCCTCTCCTTGGAATTCACTCCTGGTCCAAGCACCACTTTCATTACATTTAGGGATATACGCCCCCTTCCTTCACAATCAATGTGAATTGTCATGGCTGCAGTATGCTCTTTCCTGGCAAGTAATAGCTAATTTTTTTTTTTTTTTTTTTACTTAATGGCACCTGGAAGCTCTACTCTTCTTGTCTTTTCCCTTTAAAAAGACCCCTGGTTTCTTTCTGATCCCCAATTATTCCATTTCTGGCCAGCTCTTCCCCTGGAGAACCACATGATTAAATAGCATGTGAGGAAGTGATGGAAGTAGAATGCTTGCCTCGTGCCTTTCTGGTTCACTCACCAGAAAGGGATTGGCAGCTGCTTTAAGTCAAATTACCCGGCAAAGAAAAATGCTTGAACCCCACGGGGTTTAGGGGTGGAGTGCAGAGTGGGCAGTGTGAGTCTGGGGGGTCCTGGCTCATGTTTTAGGAGGCTTTCTTGCTGGCCTCCATGGGAAAGACTCATTGGCAGCATTGTGTCTGGAGAGACTGGAGGATCAGCCAGGGCCAACTGCATAATTTGCGGGGTGGTGTGCAAAATGAAAAAGTGCCGGGCGCCTTGTGCAAAAAGTCAGGGGGGTGGGGGATGCTTTTTCTTTCCTTCTGTGGACTTTTCAACCTGTCCTGTTTTCAATATGATATTTTATATCATATTCCCTCAGGTGTGGAGATACTTGCTAGGTGGGTGGAGTCCTCCATGGGCTCCCAGGACCCCACCCTGCTCCTTGGTGCTTAGGACACATGTACTTCCCTGGCAACGCATCCAGGCCCCCGGGTGGTGGAGGGCGGCAGGTTTTGGAGCAGGAGGTGGAGAGCTCATCCCAAAAAGGCAAAGAGGAAGTGGGAGGTGGGACTGTGCACCAGCTGAGACCCTGAACCACAGCGCATGCTCATTGGACTTCCCTTACAAAATGGAGAGTTATTAAGAACTCCGTACAGTGACTGCAAAGCATTAAACCCTAAGAATGGGGCGTCCTTCTTTGTACTGGGGCCCAACATGGGACCCCATGTGATTGCACTGGCCACGCACCCATGCATCAGCCCTGGGATCAGCAAGTGCAATCGCCCCAGTAATTTTTCTTTCTCTGACCTTCCAGAGTCCTGTTCCTACGAAGGCCGTGTGTTTCAGGATGGGGAAGACTGGCCACTGAGTTCCTGTGCCAAATGCATGTGTAGAAATGGGGTCACCCAGTGCTTCGTGGCTCAATGTCAGCCTCTGTTTTGTAATAAGGTAAGGAAGACAGCCTCAGAATGGATCCTTCCCAGACTGTTAACTTCACTGTGCAGGCCTTGGAGTCCCTTCGGAGATTATGTCAGGCCACCATGGAAGTTTAGGAACAAGGAGCCAAGGCTGTTTTGTTTCCTTGATACTTTTGGAGACTACTGCTGAGACCTTGATTTCACCCTGAGAGGCTACAGTTAGTCTAATCACCAGCCATTTAGGCTAATTGTTACATTATGAAACTGAGCCTTGAGGGTGAACAAAAGGAAGCTGCCCACCCCAGTTGCAGATGTTCCAAAAATGTCAAGCTCAACATCTGGAAAATTCAGTAACATTGATCAGATTTGTTACTGTCGGACAATGCAAAGGTATATGCTGCTTTTTGAATACATATATGTGTCTTTACACATGATTATTCAGCCGTACACTATTTAATTCTTATAAGATAATGCTTCAGATTATCAAAGGATCTTCTCTGGGGTGGTTTAAAATAGTGGGATCTTACTGTTCTTTTAAAGCTGATCTGATTTTCAAAACATTAGGCTTGTCACACAAATTTCAAACAGAAAATCAATTGCAAATAAATGTACACATGGTATTGTATAGTTTTTTACTCTTCCAGAGGCTCCTACGGAGATTTTTTGGCAGTTGACTGATAACCATGAAAAGAGTTTGCTTCCGGTGAAAAAAGTAGCTCATTTTTTTAATCTAAGGAAAAGCTGGAAGCCAACATTCAGTTGATACAGAGCAGTACTTTGTGTCAAATAAAACAAAATCAATAACATGGCATATTGTGACAATTGGGCAATATTTTTAAAGGCAGACAAAAGGCAATTAGGCAAGAAATACTAACTGCCAAATAAAAGGAAAATGTATCTAATTGAAAGACTAGATTGTATTACCCACATTACACCCTACTACGCTCATGACACATCTCTTAATTCATCACAAAGTCTGTCCTAGCTTTAAGATTACAAGTGAGCTTCTTGGTAGAGATGTACAATATCTTACATTCAGAGGACACTGTAGTGTGGAGGTATTTTGATTTACACATTCCAGGTCTCAGGCCCCTCCTGAATAAAGGATAATTAAGCAGTTTGCTGCCAATGCAATTAAGGAGGTGGGAGAAGGGATGGAGGAAACACCCCATTGGGACCCTTTCTTTAAATCTTTAAAAACTTAGCCAGGGACTGTGTATTAGGGGATTGGATATTGTAATAATTGAAATTACTATTTCCCATTAAATATAAATTCTGGCTTCAAATGGTAGCTTCCAAACACATATAGCCTGCATTGTTTAAAAAGATGGAATTTGGTAGCATGATTTAGAGTTAATTGATGTGCAACCATTCTGAAGTATTGGAAATAGGTTGATTTTAATCCCTCTTGCATTATTAAGTCTACATTATTGTCATGACATAATTTTTAAAAAACCAACTGTCAGATTATTTAGAACTATTTTTTATTTAATATCAGTATTAAATATTCGGTGTTCTGATGATGTAAAGAGATGCTGTAGAATTAGCACTTTTGATAGAAACATTATCACCACCACCATCTATCATCACCACATGCTGGGCATTTATTATGTACCAACAATTTGTTTTGAGAGCTTTAATTAATCCTCAGAACAACCCTAAGAAGTAGGAACTTTATTATCCCATTTTAGAGTAGATAAAACTGAGGCACTGAGAAGTAGTTTGCTCAAGGTACCAGAGTTAGAAAGTGTCAGTGCTTCTGTTATGGACTAACATTCACGAGAATAAGACCACCGACTCCAATTAGGTCTTAAACAGCAAGGGAGGATTTATTGAGCTGGCCAGCGACTATGGTTATAGCACCCTGCTGAAGCAGAGGCTGAACTGCAGTGCAAACTACAGGAGTTACATTTTATTATTAAATTCTGTGGCGGCCCAGAGAAAAAATGTGCATTTCAAATTCTGGGCCCCCAACATGGAGGAAACTCTCTTTATTTATACTTTTTCCAGTCCTTTGTCTCCCAAATTTGGAATGAGACTTCCGGGCCTTCTGAGAAAGAAAGCCTGCGTGCTGGGAAGGGGCCATGAGACCATATCTCAAGGCCTGGCCTGATGTCAGTACCTTCCTCTCTATGTGTTCTAGGAACAGAGGGCACAGCGCGCCCCTGTCTGGCTGAAGTGCCATATATACAGCCCAGCACACTTCTAGCTGAGGCAGTTCTAATCACAACTTCAACAGACCACAACTGACTTGTAATTTTAGCCATTATGCTATACTGCCTCCCAAAATGATGGGTTTCATCGCATGTATAGAATAATAATCACAATAGCAATAGTTGCTAACATCATTGTGCATGATCATGATTCTTTTATATATTAACTCAATAAATATTTTTTTAAAACCCACAAGTTCAGTAGAAGAAATGTATTTCCAGGTCTTGAGCTCTAGAAAAATTTGAATTTTAATATAAGGTTTTTTCATTATAAAAATAATTTGTACACATTAAGGAAAGTTTGGCAAACACAGAAAAGCAGGAAAGAAAGTGATCCTCCATATTTTCATCATTTAAAAAGACCCTTATAGAAATTTTTTTGGTAATGAAACGAGAACTTTGAACTGCAATGCGTGGTGTTCCCCTGGGCAGGATGGTTTTCCCGGGCTCTTTGTCCACTGGAGTCAAAGAATGAAACCAGGGAGGAAAGGTGGTATAGCAAAGGTGGAAATTTATTGAGAAATACTAGTAAGCACAGACTCCCACGGAGTCCCTTTTCCTACAGTTTTTAAAGGCTGCAGTTTTTTTGCCTCAATATCCCCCCTGATGGGTCCCCTTTGATTTGGTCACTATAGCAACTCCTGAGCTCAAGTGTCATGTGAAGTATGGGAGGTTCCCTCCTTCTTCTCCCTTATTGTTCTCCTGTTTCCTCTGAGCTTTCCTTCCTCTTTCTTTGAATGAGGGGTTTCCTTCTCTTTATTCTGTAAATGTGTACCTTTTGCTACTCTCAGTTTCCTTGTTTTGTGGAAATGTACCCTTTTACAACTCTGTAGCCCTGGTCTTTTTTTTTTCCAGGGACCCCTTATTTTTTAAAAATTTCCTAAACCCCTGCCTATTTCACCCCTAAAAATTCCTTTCAGTAACTCATTTCAATTTTTTTGATAGGCAAATGTGGATACATTTCTTTGTTTGCTTAGTTATGATTACATTTTAGAAGTTGGTGATAATCCTGTTGAAAGGAGAAATGTCTTATGTTTAAATAAGGAGTTGTTTCCTTAGTGAGGAATGTAAATACTGAAATTGCTTGCTCTCAATTGTTCATATCCCTTATGAAAAGAGCACTAACCCAGCCACATTTTTTGTGGGCTCATTAAAATTTCCTCTTTGGTCTGATCAGAGTTGTTCCTAATGATGTTACCACCGTTTTTTAGTACTATCTTTTCCTTGCTCCCAAAATTGATTAATCTGAGTAGGCTGAACTTCATCTTCAGATATGTTGTTTTCTGAGCCACTAAGTATTTGAGAATCATTTTCTTGTTGTCTATATTGATAAAAGATAATTAGTAGAGTCTAAAATTTGGGATGATTATGTTCTCTTTCCATCTCAGCCCTTTCGTCTTCTTTCTATTGAATTCTGGAATTTAGTGCCATGGAGGTCTGTCTGCTTTCTATTCCATTCTATTTAGGTGGTTTCACTCTGTTGGATTCTTGCAGGATGGTTTTTTTTTTAATCTTTATAATTCAAACATTTTCCCAGACATTTCTAGGCGAGGTGTCTTTTCACATATTTCGCCTAGAATATTGTAAGCCCTCTCAGCCTGTATTCTAGTTTTTGAAATATTTTCTATGGTTACAGCTCTGATTAATCATATTCTTTCCGGTTATCCCTATTCCTCCAGAAACACCTATGATTCTTAGATTGCTGCGTATCTTTCCCCTCATTATCAATCATATTCTTTCTCATCATTTTTCACTCTTTGTCTTTCCCCTGCATTATGGAGAGAGCCTCTGGAGTTTGTATTTACTACCTGTAGTATTGATTTTAATTTGAAGATTTCACATCAGTTTTCTTTTGATTCTTCCTTATTCCTCCTATTGTTGGTTCATCTATTTTTTGATCCCAATGCTTATTCTTTTTATTGCTTCCCACTTGTAATTAATAAAGACTGCATTTTCTTACATCTTGCTAAAGTTGCAAAACTGCTTTTAAATATTTTCTTTTGGATCTTAAAGTATGTAGTGTTCAGAAATCTGCTCTTTCTCTGAATCTTTCGAATGTCATTCCTTTCACTTTTTCTTCAAGGTTTTCTCCCCAAGTTCCTTTCTTTCTGTTTACTCATCCTTGATCAAGAGAAATCTACCCATACCCACTGCTTGAAAGCTGAAAGGATAAGAGGCCTGCCCCTGGCCAATTCCCCTTCTTAGAGCCCTAGCCAGATGCTAAGAAATGTGCATGTCCTCCTGGTCCAGGGGTCTGCCAAGTTTCATGTAGTGTAGCTCTACTGTACTGAGATCAAATATTCTCCTAACCCCACTGCCCAACCCTCTTACATTTTGAATGCATGAAACAAAAACTATAATCCCCAGTTTGAACTGTTGCAAGGGGCTCTTTCCATCTCTCTCGGAAACTATATGTTTTACATTTGGGGAGTCCTCCACACCCCACCCCTGCTTTTTATCACTCCCTCTACTCTCCAAACACACATAATCCCCACTCTTTTTTAAACTTACAGGCTCTGACTAGATGTAGAAAAGAAGGTATTGAGGCCCCTTGATTGCCTCAAACAGCAGCAGCCACACACCAGAGGGATGAAGGTCGTGTTGTGTTTGATATAGGAAGGCAGAGAGTTGGGAAGACTATTTAGGCTTACAAACCAAAGGAAGGCCACAGGTCGATGGGACTTCCTCTTGGCAATGATAGGAGGTTGGCTGTTCTACTTTTTGTTGATGGAAGTTTTATCTCTTTCTATATCTTCAGAAGTGTCATAGTGGGAAAATACTTTATCAAGAGCTGTTAGGCCTATGACACTATACACTTTTTTATCTTAAGTATTTTTATTTAGGGATGTATTTTATTTTATTTAAAATATATCCTAAATGGTAGTTTGAACCAAAGTTATAATGACATTAATCAGACACATATATATTTTCACTGGACTCCTGTGATAACTGAGGGTAATATATATATTAGACCCGGGGTTAGCAAACTTTTCCAGATGGTGAAAAATTTCAGCTTTGAGTGCCATACAGTTGGAACAACTACTCGGCTCTGCCATTGTACCACAGAACGTGCTGTGGATACTGTGTAAATGAATGGATGTCATTGTGTTCCAATAAAACTGAACTTGTAGAACAGGTGGTGGGCTGGATTTGGCTCAAGGCCCGTAGTTTGCTGGCCCCTGTATTAAACTGTACATTCGAAAGAGCAAATCTACGAAGACCAGAATGATAGGATCCAGGTGTGTGATAGCAACAAAAGGCTTGTTAAAAAGCCATTCCCATTTCTCTGACCCACCTCGCTGCTCACCTTCTTACTTGCCTCTGCAGTCCTCTGGCTTATGAAGCCTCAGCCCAGCTGGATCTCACCTCTGAATCCTAGAGTTCTCTGGTATCCCGGGATATTTTCTCCTGAAATGCTTTTCCTTCCTGCCCTTGTTGGTCTGTATTTGTGAAGGAAGCGTCTGTTTCTGTCAACAAATTACATAATTAGGTATTGCCAGTAAGAATCAGAAAGCTTGATTTTCCCTGTACCAACCTCCATATCAGCAACTCCGCCCTCCCCTACTCTCCTGCTTACTCTGCTGCTATTCTTGGGTTTAGTCCAGGTTGGGGAATATAGATTGATACTAACTCAATTTCTTCTCAAGATTTGTGATCATGACATTTGTCCCCTGTTTACTTAACGTTGTATAAGTTCATTTGTTTACTTCAATGAAGACATTGAAGACTGTGATATCAGATAAACTTTTATTTTATTCCTCACTGAAATGTCATTAAACTAAAGAGTTCTGAAGTCAAGAAATGCTCAGTGATTTCAATCCATATCCAGTTTTCACAGGTTCTGTTAAACATCAATGGTCATCATATTTTGCATATGGAATCAAAAGAAATAAAATAACCTAAAGTATAGAAAAGTTGTCAGTTTAATTACAGTGATTCAGGTGTTTGAAATAGATCCTATTCATAGCAACATGTTAATCTAACTCATCATATATAATTGGGGTAAATGAACTACTGAAGTATGACTGGAATTTTCCAAGAAAAATTAAGGTTATTTGGCAGCTCCGCCCCTTCTCTCCCCCCAGTACACCGATCTTGTTTTCCCTGCAGAATGAACACCAGAGTAACCATGGTAATAAAATCCCATTTTCTGCTTCTAATAAGGGAAGAGAACTGTTATGAGGTATTTTCTATATAAGATCTACCACTTCGTAGTCATTGAAAGTTGGTTTGTTCTAATCCTCCTTCCCTGCCTTTAATTGGTCTATCTTCCTGCCCATCAATAAGACTGTAGTGATGAGTCAGAGTGAGAAACTGGCTTTGGGACATTAAGGAGGAGGCTGTTGCTGTGAAAATTCGTAGGGCAGTGGAGACAGAATGGGTTGATATTTTGGGGTTGAGGTGGGGTGTTAGAGGTGCATAAGCACTGACATATTCCCAGATCTATAGAGATAAGATTAATTTCTTTTCATGTTAAGGACCTCCCTAATGCACATATGTAAGTGATGGGTTCACATAAAGATGCAAAAAAATAGTGAAGTAGTCTGTGAGGGATACCTTCTCTTTGAACTTAAAGGTAACTCAGCAGGGGTGTAAGTGCTCTTAGGTGTTGCTATGGTTAGTGCTCTGAGTTTCCACTACTGACCATTTACTACTGCCAGGTCAGCTGTGTGACCTTGGGTGAGTCACATAACCTCTCTGTGTCTACTATTCTTGTTTGTAAAGTGGCAATTAGAGCATCTACTTCAGAAGATTCTTATCAGGCATTTAAAACAATGCCAGGCAAATACTAAGTACTACTATTGTTATGGTTATTATTTGTGCTTTTGTTTGTTTTTAGAAGAGGCTGGGACTTAATGAATGTGTAAACTTCTTAATAGTCTCACTGACCTTGGCAGTGCTAATTTTTGTCCAGGCAGAAGGTTACTCATAGATACCAAATGTGAGGAATTGCTGTTTATGGATGCTTGAGGCACATGCTTCAGTTGGCTATGAATAAAATTTTCCCCCTTTTATGGATTTTATTAATGCTTCCTTTTGATGGATTATCCTTTTCTGGGTATTCAGGATGAAACTGTGGTTCGAGTTCCTGGAAAATGCTGCCCCCAGTGCTCTTCTGGATCCTGCTCCGCTGCTGGCCAAGTATACCAGGTAACCTCTGCTGTACCCCATGCAGGTGTTTGACATACATTTTCACACATCTGCCCTCCATTCTTTAAACCACTGTACCTCCTGCCCTCATGTCTGACTCTGCCAGGATTAGTGACTCAGTACATAAGCATCTTTTTTCTTCTCTACATGGAAAGCCTTTATAAAAAAACTAAATAGGAGGGGATTAGAAATACAAAGGAATGTGCTGGCAAGCAGCCCCCAGCTCACGAACCTTGGTGAACTTACTGTTCATACATCTTGAAGAGAAAAAAGGACTGTCATTGATCACTATCAGTTTACACTTAGGTTGTCTGCTTTGGTTGGATTTTATGTACTGATATTTAGAGATAATGCCCCCTTACTTTACCC